ACAACAACAACAACAACAACATGTATACATGTGAATATGCATGCACACACAAACACAGAGATAACTGTGGAGTAATGAGAAGATAGAATGATTAAATGGCAGTCAGGGAAAAGATTAGGCACAGCTTCCTTCCCTCCCTGCTTATCTGGTCTCTAATTTACCTTCTCTTACAGTGACTTCTCCTGTAAATATAAAATGACTGTCAGGATTTGGTTATCCACATCTGAGTAGCACATAATCAGCTTTACATGACTCCACCACTCATCAGACTAATTAAGATTTTAAAAAATAAATCTAGCCTTTGATTTGCATCTGCTTATGGCACCATGTGACTGTCCATCAGGTCTTGTTAAAGAGATGACCTTGTAGGTAAACTCTTACTCCTCTTGAGGATACCTGGATCACCTTCCTAAATTGTAGCTTTTAGGGGGGTTGCAGACTGCCAGAAATAGTGCAAATTGAGTCCACTTTTAGGGTTAGGGTTAGGGTTAGGGTTAGGGAATCATGGGAACTGTATTTTATTGTGGCACCAGAGCTCTCTGACAGAGAAGGCTCAATGTCTCAGGAAAAAAAACAATTCCCATGATTCCCTAGCACTAACCCTAACCCTAAAAGTGGACTCAATTTGCACTATTTGTCTCATTTGTGTGATTCTTTCTCCAGTATATAAGCATGGTTGGATTAATGACTCCTCCTTCCTTTTGTCCATATGAATATGCAAAAGGATCCATCCAGTGTGCAGGGAGTGACTTCCTACTGGACTAGGAAACATTACACTGTAGAAATTATGCAGTTTGACACCACTTTAAGTGTTATAGCTTCATTCTATGGAACCCTGGGATTTGTAGTTTTACAGGTTATTTAGCTTTCTCTGCCAAAGAGTATTGGTGCCTCAAAACTGATCCCAGGATTCTGTAGGATGGAGCCATGATACTCAAGGTGCTGTCAAACTGCATTATTTCTAAAGTGTTAGACACATCTCCAGTAGAATTTGTGGCGTGAAACAATTACAAGTCACTTTTTAACAAGTGGTTAATATAGCCAAGAGAGAGGCTTTTACATTGTAATTTGGGCCGTCCATCAAGCAGTGAGGACTTGGTTGACTGCAAGTATTGATAGAGGCCACAATTTCTCATATGTCCTGCTTTGGCCTGTCAGGTGTTTGGGTAATTGCTTAAAAAGTTGTTGTTGTTGTGTTGTTGTTCAAGTCATTTTAAACTCATGGCAATCCTAAGGCAACACAATCATGGGGGGTTTGTGGCAAGATTTGTTCAGAGGAGGATTGTCTTTGCCTTCCTCTGAGGTTGAGAAAGTGTGACTTGCCCAGTAAGTTTACATGGCTGAGCCTGGATTCAAACCCTGGCTTCCCAGTGTCCTAGTCCAATGCTCAAACCATTGCACTGTATTGGCCCTCAAAGACAAAACAAAACAAAAAGGCCATTTTTGGACTGGAGTTCTTACTGAGGTGATACTTTTCTTTGGGCTGTATCACTTCAGACAAATTATATCCACATAATTTAATATAAATGTGGTCCTTCACATTTGCACTTTAACTTTTGCTGATTTGATTATTCATGGATTTGATTATTATGTTCTCTCTAGGAATTTCTAGGTCCTCCAGCATGACTGCCAGAAGCTGACCATAGTGTTGCACTGGAGGACCTAGAGATTCCTAGCAAAAATAGTTCTCTAGGCATGTATAGGTCCTATTAGCATAATTCTGTGGCCAACCTATAAGCATAATTCTGTGGCCCTACCCATTCTTACTCTTCTTCTGATTTCTTGACTGCAGTCCCCATTCTGATCAATATTTGATCCCAGGTATGATAATTCTTTTACTATTTCTATTTCCTCATTGTCTAGGTTGAATTTGTGTAGAATAGATTCTCTGCGGTCATTATTTTTGTTTTCTTTATATTCAACAGTAAGTCTGCCTTTGCACTTTCTTCCATAATCTTCCTTAGTAGTTAATAATAATAATAATAATAATAATAATAATAATAATAATAATAATAATAATAATAATAATAATTTATATCCTGCCCCTCTGCAGAGCAATCGGGGTGGCTTACAACATTAAAATTTCCATACAGATATATTAATACAATTTAAACAGAACATAAAAATCCCAAATCCCACCCGTCCTTTAAGAAGTAAGGGTTCTTCTTATTCCAGGCTGGATGGTGCTGGGCCTAGTGTCTTACCCCCAGATGACTTTGGATGGAATGGAGGGAGGGCTCTTCTTCTTATTCCTATTTGTTCTAGGTCTGTAATATTTTCTGCTAGTAGTATGGTGTTGTCTGCATATCTTAAGATTGTTGATATTGCTTCTACAATGTTTATTAATTTTCTGGAAACTGGCCATGAACGAGCAGCCAATAGCTTGCAGACCAACACAGGTCCATAGACCACCATTTTGAGTAGTGCTGGCTTAGGAGCTTCCATTTCATCACACAACCTGGCAGTTGCATCCTAGGAACAGTATAGGGAGTATCCATAGAGGTTTGACAAGTCATTTTTGGACTACAGCTCCCACATCAGTGCTTGTGCTGAGTGGAGGACTCCAGGAGTTGCCGTCTAAACAGGTAAGCTTTTCAGAGTATCTGTAGAGTATTAATGAAGCAGTCAGTCTGTCAGGGAAGCTTGTGCGTCATTGCTGATCTTTGCATCTTGAGGAACCGCCAAGGCACCCCAGTGTTCTCTGGAACACAGTTAGAAAGCTATTGACGTAGAGTTCCTTCCCGTTTATGTTCTTTAGATGAAACACCGCAGACCTCCAAACAGTAGAACTTCATTTTATCTCTGTTAACTTTGGGGAAGTGCCAGCTCTGGTATTGCTCTTCTTTAGTATAGGAGCCTTTCAAGGACAAACATAACTGGAGAATAATGAGGTGATAGTAAGGCAGGGGTTTGGAGCTACAGGCTAGGACAACCCTGGATTTGTGGGATGGGATGGGATGGAGGACTATGGTGGTGCTCCTTGAGCTACTGCATTGAAGGGGATTTCTGTAGAGCAGTGTGTAGTGTGCAATAACACTTTCTCTAGCTGGTCATGGATTTTAAAAACTGTTATTAGCTTTTAAAGGGCAAATATGTAATCGAGTCATATGGTCCTTGGTCAGATCAAGCATGAGCCTGTCATACTTTGGACATATCATAAGGAGACAAGATTCACTAGAAAAGACAATAATGTATGGCAAGGTGGAAGGCAATAGGAAAAGAGGAAGACTGCATTGCAGATGGATAGTCAAGGAGGTTGTAAAACCTGAGCAGGGTTGTTGTTGTTGATAGGGTGACTTGGAGGTCTCTCATTCATAAATCAAACCCAAGTCGATGGTAGCTGATAACAACAACTAGCTTGCTACAGCTAAAGCACTCCCTGGTAGTCTTCTGCTGCTTCCCCTCATTATAGGTATTCATATCTTTTTATCTAAAATAAAACAGATGTATCTGTGAACCCAGGTGTAAAGTGTTCAATACTAAATTGGTTTATGGCAAGACCAGTACCAGGCTATAGATGTATTAATTCATCTAATCACAGACCTTCAAATCAGTGAGTGGATGAATGGTGGGGTCTTGCATCCCCCATTTCTTACCTGTATGTTAAATTTAAAGTCTTCTAAAGGAGGTCTATTGTCACAGACCTTAGAGAACAATATAGTGTGTCCAACAGCAAAAACTGATGGATTATATGATATTCATAGTTTGCTACTCATAGGTCCCTCTGCTGTCATTATATGTAGCATTGGGTTGTTGGGCACTCTGAGAGGATGGCTCTGACAGGTGTAAACGTTACTGTGTTCCATTAATTGATTATATTGATTATTTCAGTGCTGGGCTATCCCAAGGGTAATGACAACACATTTCAAAAGCCTATGAAAAAAATAGGTTGCTTTGTCCTCTTCTCACCCCTGTGAAGATTAACTGCTCTTTACAATCCAGCAATCCTTTACTTCTGTTGTGTAAATATTTAGATCTTGAAAGATTTAATGTAGCTATCTACTGTAATCCATTAAGGAGAGAAGTGGAGGCAGGGGAGGAAGAGGCATCATAGTTTTAAGTTAGGAGTGGCTCAGTGGAGAGTAGATCAGACCTGGAGTTTAGTTTGTTTGCTCCTTGGGATGAACCCCAATTCAACATTTAGGAGTGTGTCTGGATGCCAGGTATGTACTGTGACTGTTTTCTTTCTTATCAGCAAGTTTGATTAGTGCAGGGGTTGGCAACCTTTTTTGCCGATGGGCCAGGGGAGGGAAATGGCGCTGGGGGCTGGTGCGCATGTGCGCTGGTGCGCATGTGCGCATGTGCATGATGGCAGGGGGGGCCCAGGAGAGCTCCCTCAGCTGCGCTGGGCCTCTGAGAGGCCCAGCGCCACTGCGCCCCCCCAGGAGGACTCCCTCTGCAACACCGGGCCTCCAAGAGGCCCAGCTCCGCCGTGGGGACCCCCCAGGAGGCTTCCCTCGGCAGCGCCAGGCCTCCGAGAGGTCCTGCGCCGCCGCGGGGCTCCTCTGGGGCCGTGAAAGGCTGCAGCGGTGGCGGCGTGGCGGTGTCAGCGGCAGGACCAGGCAGGGGCCGGTCCGAAGGTCTCCGCGGGCCGCATCTGGCCTGCGGACATATAGGTTGCCGACCCCTGGATTAGTGGAATACAGGCAGGGTAGTTGAATATGATTTCTTCCCTTCTTGTAAGCCATGCATTCTGTTCATACTCTGTTGAGGAAGAGAACCCATTGCATCAACTAATCCAAGGGTGAGGAACTTGAGACCCTTGCTTTGCTTCAGCTTTATTCCATGCATTCCTCATCAAGCAATCAGTTCAGACTTCTGGTAAAAGCAGCCTGAAACTTTCTGTGGTTGTCTGCTGGATGGGGAGAAAGTGTGTGTAAGGAGAGAGAGAGAGAGAGAAAGAGAGAGGCAACTGACTGGTGGGGTAGGGATTTAGAAAAGTTATGTTTTAGGATTACTTTTACCAGAAACCCTGGGAAGGATTTGGGCAATAGCTGAGAGCCAGAGTTGCATAGTGGTTTGTATGTTGGACTATGACTCTGGAGACCAGGGTTTGATTCCCAGCTTGGTCATGAAACTCATTCGGTGACCTCAGGCAAGTCACACTTTCTCAACCTCGGGGGAAGGCAATGGTAAACATCCTTTGAATAAATCTTGCCATAAAAACCCCATTATAGGTTCACCTTAGGGTCACCATAAGTTGGAAATGACTTGAAGGCACACAACAGCAAAAGGTATAACGTAAATGCACCATTCTGGTCTTGGAATTTAAGCAGGGTCAGGCCTAGTTAGTATTTGGATGGGAGACTGCCAAGGAATCCCAGGTGCTGTGGAGGAAGGAACTGGCAAAACCATCTTTGAATATTCCTTGCCTGTGAAATTCATGGAGTTGTCATAAATTGAGAGGTGATTTGATGGCACATACACTTGCATAGTATTTAAAAGTGACAGTTCCAAGTTCTGCCTGTTAGCAGAGTGTTTGTGCTGATAAGTAAGCCATATGTTGCTAGTCCACCCTGAGTTTCCAGGAACCTATTTGAATATGATAATTTTGGCACAAATGTGGTATTAGTCCTTGCTGTACTGGGGGAAAAAATGTGCCATAGCATATAACTTGAGAAGACCTGCTTTACCCCATACCTAACTAATTTTAGGGATGGGCTGCCTGTATCTGAGACCCTTTGTGACTGGGGAGGGGGATGGAATCACAGAATCAAAAAGAATAAAAACCCTGACTTTATTAATATACATCACACACACACATATATACCTACATATGTATTTTTGCATTTGTCTAGAAATATTAATGTATGATAGTATAATACAGTTTTAACACTAAAACCTGGAGATTACAGTTATCCTTGAAGCATTGGCCAAGACACTAGTTATTGTTACCTGCCCTTGAGTTGACCTCAGTTCATGGTGACCCTGTGAATTTGACATCTCTGAGCCACCCTGTCCTCCACTGCTCTGCTTAAGTCTTGTAGATTCAGTCCCTTGACCTCCCTGAGTCTAGCCATCTGGCATGCTGTCTTGCCATCTTTCTACTGCCTTCTACCATTCCCAGCGTTACTGTCTTTTCTAATGAGCCATGCCTCCTCATGATGTGGCCAAATTATGACAGCCTCAATTTAATCTTTGGCTTCCAGGGAGAGTTCAGGCTTGATTTGTTATAGGACCCATTTGTTTGTTCAGCTCTGTCCAGCTCTCACATCCGTACATGGTGATGGGGAATACAATGGACTGGATGATTCTAATTTTAGTGCTCAGTTGTATATCTTTGCTCTTTAGGATCTTTTTTAGTTCTTTCATAGCTGCCCTCCCCATTCCTAGTATTTTCCTGATTTCTTGACTACAGTCCCTGTTCTGACCAATGTTTGATCCAAGGTATGGGAACTCTTTTACTATTTTGATTTCCTCATTGTCTAGGTTGAATTTATGTAGTTCCTCCCTGGTAATTACTTTTGTTTACTTTATGTTCAGCAATAAGCCTATCTTTGCACTTTCTTCCTTGACCTTCCTTAGTAGTTGTTCTAAGTCTGTGATGTTTTCTGCTAGTAGTATGGTGTCATCTACATATCTTAGATTGTTGATATGCCTTCCTCCTATCTTCATTCCTCCTTCTGAGTCTAACCTTGCTCTTAATATGATATTTTCTCCATAGAGGTTGAAAAATAGGGTGATCCAAAGGCAGCCTTGCCTGACCTCTTTGCCAATTGGGAACCATTCTATTTCTCCATATTCTGTTCCAACAGTCATCTCTATGGGAACTGTTTGGAGTGTGATGGGGGATACCATGGCCTGGACCATTCTAACTTTAATACTCAGTTGTATATCTTTACTTTTTAGCATCTTGTATACTTCTTTCATTGCTGCCCTTCCTATTCCTAGTCTTATTTCTTGATTGCAGTCCTCCTTCTGATCAATGTTTGATCCAAGGTAAAGGGAATCTTTATTTTGATTTCCTCATTGTCTAGGCTGAATTTATGTATATCCTTCATTGTCATTATTTTTGTTTTGTTATGTTCAGCAACTAGCCTGCCTTTTCACTTTCTTCCCTCACCTTCCTTAGTAATTGTTCCAAGTCCATGATGTCTCCCACTAGTTGTATGGTGTCATCTGCATATATTATGTTATTGATGTTCCTTCCTCCTATCTTAATTCCTCCTTTTTCTGAGTCTAAACCTGCTCTTCATATGATATTTTCTGCATATGCTGAACAATTAGGTTGATAATATGCAGTCTTGCCTGTCCCCTTTGCCAATTGGGAAGCATTATGTTTCTCTATATTCTGTTCTAACAGTAGCCTCTTGTCCTAAGTACAGATTTCTCATCAGGACTATCAGATGTAGTGACACTCCCATGACCTTTAGAGCCATTCATAGCTTTTTGTGATCTATGTAGTCAAATGCTTTGCTATAGTCTATAAAGTACATGCTGATTTTCTTTCGGATTGCAAAATTCTGTCCTAAAGTAGTCTATGCCTAAAGTGTGATGGGTGTCTAGTAAACTCTTTTGCATTTTAAAAATAACTTCCAGGAAAAAGACACAGTAGCCTCATAAGGCAAATTATTCCACTGCTGAACTGTTACTGTGGTTTGGACATTGTTCGCTCTGCTTCCTTGCAGTTTTAAAGATACTACTACTTGTTTTATTCTCCTGTATAAGCAAAGGGATCTTGTAGCACCTTTGTGACTGTGCAAAAGAACCTGTACCATAAGTGTTTGTAGACTTGGTCTGCTTCCTCAGATGCATGGCTATATCTCTGAATTCTATTTTCCTGAGTAAGGAGTTGATTATTTCTGAGATTTCTTTTAAATACATTACATAGTCTGAACCCAGTTTTCCTGTAACAAATAAATCCTATATCAAGAGAAATTTTCCCAGTTACTGCATAATATAATTACATTGACACTTGAATTACAGAGGTATCTCACCCCATCATCCTTTGTGTCATTTCAGGGATGCGGATAGGGAGAGACATTGCCCCCCACATAAGACTTCTGCCTTCCTAAATGAAATTTTTCTTCAGTCCCCAAATTATTAGCTTTGCAGAGAATGAGACATTCAAAATCATTGAAGCCTAGAACTCTTACATTTGTTGGGTTCACATTATTTTGGTAATTTGAACTTCCCCTTTTCTTTGGATATCTAAACTGCTCAATTGACCTTTCAAATTAGTACAATACAGGTCATTTGGGGAGTGAAGAAAAAATTCATGGTGGGACAAAATTCTTATTTGGGGCCCTCAGTGCCCTCATTTTTCACTCCTGTAGTTACACTCTGGTGGGCTTCATTCAGACTGACCCAGTGCCACAGCAGACTACCATTCCCAAAATGCCATAGCATAGAGCCATGGCGGTGTCAAGCTGGATTATTTCTGAAATGTGGATGCAGCTCTTGTTACAAGTCTCTGTTCTCCCCTTTCAGGGAAGGAACCTTTCTGAGAACCCTCCTTTGGAGTCTGAAAACATTAGTCCCTATTACCTAGATAGCTACACCCTTTAACACTGTTTTTAGAAGGCTAAAGCCAGAAGAAAGGGCACTATCTGGCTAAAATAGGAAGGGCCAAGAATTGGGATATGTGGATTTTATTATGGGCTATCTCCTTTCCCTCCACAATTTAAACACTGGATATTTTAGCCCCAATATAACTTTGTGCTATTGCAGTTTCAAAACATTTCCACCACCATGAGAACTAGGAGTTTGTTTCATTTTCTTTAAAAGCGTGGGAATTCTGGTTCTGTTTGACAAAGATTAAGAAAAAGGAGGCAGCTTTTGAATATTGCTGGTTTGCTCAGTCATTTCCTTCCTGAACCTGTGTGGGCCAGATGGCTCTTTCCTACCCACCTGAGCAAAGCCATTTCACAAGCTAACTAGGTAAACTGCTGGTTTGGGTGGGATTCAATTAAGGTCATTGTTCCAACATATCATGCTTTTCTGAATCCTCCCTGAGCCATCATGTAGGTCTCATACCAAGCTGTCGGTCAGGAGAGCTTTGAAAATACATCATGCTCCTTATATCATCTAAATATATTTTATTTTTTAATTTTTTTGGACTGTGGTAAACCTACAGTATTTTTTCACTGTTGTCTGGGATGACAGCCAGCCCTGAGTGCTACTGGCAAGCTGCTACACCAGTCCTTCCTCTTGATGCAGTGATTTGGAAATTTTTGAACTTGTCCTCCCCACCCAAATGTATGCTTCTATTACCTCCAACCCTGTATCAGGGCTTGTATGTTGTTTTTAATTGCCCTTGAGTCGATTTTGACCCATGGCAACCCTGTGGATGAGACATCTCCAAGACTCCCTGGCCTCCACTGCTCTGCTTAGTTCCTTCAAACTCATACCTGTGACATCCTCAATAGAGTCCATCCATCTAGCATACAGCTTTCCTCTCTTTCTACTTCCCTTCACCTTTCCTAGCATTATTGTTTTTTCCAGTGACTCATGCCTTCTCATGATGTGTCCAAAGTACAACAGCCTCAGTTTTGTCATCTTGGCTTCCATTGAGATTTCTGGCATTATGTGCTCTAAGACTACACTGTTGAAAAATGCTGTACTCATCCAGTGCTAGCAGACCAGATGATGTATCTGTATTTTTCTGCTGTTAACTTGACATTGTTCTGAATTAAGCAGTCAGGGGAAATCCTGGTGTATCCTGGAAACTCTGGAATGATCTCAGGTTCTTTTGGCATGTGGACAGCTGGAAAGGGTCCAATTTGGCCTGTTTCAGTTATCCACATACCAAGAACCAATTCACCTTCCTTCCCTGCACTGAACAGCACAGGGAAAGGGGGTGGCCTGTTTTCGAAACTGCTGCCTCCTCACAATCAGAAGTTCCATTTAAAGCCTGCCCAGCACCCCCCACATCTGCTGAGGACAGAAACAGGTACCTGAACTCCTTGTTGATCACATATCTGAGTGTCCATTTTTGTCCTCAGTAGAAGTGGCTCACTGGGCAGGCTTTACATGGAGCTCCTGGCCATGAGGAAAGAACACCGACAACTCCAAAAACAGGAGGAGTGGGAGTAATAGGTTAGCATGCAACAATTTGGATTTAAATGCACTG